GTCTACCTTTGTATAAAATGAAGTGCATTCATTAGAACAATTCTCCCAGAAATGAGAAGTGAAGATTCAGTTGAGTCCTTTCTGAGACGGGGAGGAGAAATTTGCATCTCTCACTTGCTTCTCAATTGTACTTTCTACCAGCTGTGGACATGGGAGATACAGAGGCTAACTTGTAGCCTGGTGGGACCAGTCTTCCTGAGCGTTCTTCCAGTTATCAGGGAACTTCTCTCTTGTTTCCCTCTTCTTCAAAGGCTGCTTAGAGCAGAAGCTGTAATTTTAGCTGTTCTGAATGACCTTGAGAAGTTAAAAAGCCTTTCTTTGCACAGACTGTGGAGCTAAGCTGGGCAAACCTGGTGCATGGGTTGAAATAAGGGTTGCAAATATCTCCACTTTAACTTCTCTGTTTTCCTGGCCTCATCTGCTTTGAATATTGTGTCTACTCTTGCTGTTGAAATGAAGCTGCTTTTGGCCAGGTGTGCAAGACTTTGAGACCAAGATGACAAAGTTTTTCTGACTCTTCTGTGGACTGGAGTCAATTGCAGGAGAGGATGTCTTAAGTTCTAGGTTTTGTTCTCATTACTACTTGTGTTGTCCAACAGCTGTTGTGCAAAATACGCGACAGCTCTGGAACAGTTTTGGAGAAGAACATGAGGCTATGCTAGGCAGAGAAAGGAAATGATGCAGACTGTGTCAGTGAGTAGCAGACATGTCATCAAGGTATTCGCTAGTATAATTTCATCCACGCCCAGAGTTCAGATTTACAACAAAGTTTTGGTGTTGGTGTTTTCCACCCATCAGCTGAGCCATTTGGTATGTTTTCTTTGGTTTAAGCCAAGGTCAATTTTAGATTATTATTGCAGGATATAGCAGTCTAAGGCACAAGCAGTCCCCACCTGCTTGCTTCTGCCCCTCTTTCTTCCCCATCAGTGGTTAACATCCCAGAGCTGAGAATGTGTGGTACCCGTCATCTCTTTCATGTCAATGTCACACATTGTAATTTAAGCCACTGTTGTTGGCGCTTTGAGGTTAACTGTGACAACTTTGCATGGACACAGATTAAGGAGTTCTGAAAAGTTTAGTTCTGCTGGTGAGTTCTAGGGCTTGATCACCTCCAACCTAGGGGACTAACATCTCCATTGCTCTAGCTGGATCTGGAAGTAAATGTCTTTTAGCCATATTTAAACAGTTCTAAGTGCAAAATTTGGTTTAGTTTTCTCAGATATGAGTGTTCACTGACAGTCTGCAGGTGCATCACACCTTTAGATTTGCATCTAGACAAAGTGCTTATGCAGAGACTAGCACAGTGAAGGGTTGATCTCAGCCAGAGCTTCTATGCTATTTTCGTGTAAGAATAAACAGCACTAAAATACCATGAGAATAATATAAAAGTAGGCATATTTGTGATCCTCTGACCTCACAGATGCCAGATGTGCTGATTTTGGAAAACTCTTCAAAGAGAACTTGAATTCAGCTTATATACTTCTCATTCATAGAAAAATCAAGATTTTTATTTATACATATATATATATAGTGTATGTGTATATAAAATAAATATAAATATGTTTCTATATTTGGGAATAGAACAGCTGTTTCTGCTTTCCCTTCATCTGCTTACTAAAGTGTTACACGTTCTTTCCATTATGCTGGTGCTGTACTTTAGGTCAGAGAATAAAAGTATGCTGGAGCCTTGGTAAATGATCACCCTATGGCTTTAGCTGTTTTTAGGATTACCTGACGTATATATCAGACAGAATAATCATGTCGTTTGTCTCATTCCCTTTCTTGTTTTTCAATATAAAAATGTTATTTCGTCTTTCCCCACACATGGAATCATTTTCAGGTTTTAGTTCCAGATGTTTACAGATGAGCTTTCCATGGTCTGAGCTCAAAATCGATATCAGCTGGAATTTTAAAGATAGGGTTATTTTCAAACCTTATTGGGTCACAAGTTCTTCCAGCATTCTTCTCCAACAGAGAGCTTTTTTGCTTGTTGGGAGTCTTTTCTTTCTTTCTTCCTCAAGTGTCACATTCTGGGCTTATTTTCCAGAAATAGCCTCCTTCTCTTCTGTGGAGAAGGCAGATTTTAATACGCCATGCCACCATCTTCCCTTTCGGGAGCTTTGAGTGCCTTCACAATTTTTCAAATAGTTGATTGTACCATTAAGTGTAATTAATGTCTTCTGTACTTGATATTCTTGTACTTGATAATCTCTACTCCCTTCTGCAAAGCACAGTAACTTCTCTCTGAGGGCTGGTAGTCGTGCACTTGCTTCAGATGTAAACTGGTTTATGAAGTTATTTCCACTTCACAACTGTGGCTCGCAGTTCTTTCAGTTGTGCTGATGCATCTGGTTTTAGAATTGAACCACTGAATCACATTAATTGGGGGGAAGTAATTTTAAAAGGATCATCTCAGTGATGCAATTTACGTAGCAGCTATACAAATAGGTTTATCAGCACAATTGAGAAGGAGGCAGATTGCACCAGGAGGATCAGAATTAGCAGCTGGGGTAGAAAGCTTGTTGAGAGAAAATTGCTCAATTATTGTTAGAGGAGCTGAGCTGTTTCCTTTGTATTCTGTTGTTAGAACTGCCTTCCTGCTCCACCTTCGCCCTCTTCCCCTATTTCAGGTCAATTCTATTTTTTTAAAAGTCTTTTGTCACAAAGCATTGAAAACATTCATCACGTGTATGAAGGTGTTTTGTTTGTTGTGACAGCAAAGTGACTTCTGACTCCAGACGCAGCGACGACGATGGCTGTCTTGATTCTCCTCCAAGTCTTCTTTTGTGAAAGTTTTGAAGAAAAATGTGCTTAGATTGAGCTAATATTTATATGCTAAGGGTCAGATAATTTCATCTAGGTTAGTTCTTTGTGGTGTGTGAGAGATATAGCAGATAGCACTTGTTTGCCATTAATTTGAAGACCAATTAAAAATAGAGCATTTCCTTCAGTTGTAGCTTTCCGTGTAGTTGAGTGCCTTCCCGTGCAGAAGACGGGGCGGTGTGTCTGTGTTCTCTATTAGTGTCAGGGTTTCACTCGTGCCGGTGTTGCACAGCGTCCTCTGAAGACTGACAGTTACCAGGTTCGTTTACCTGTGCAAGATCATTCACACATCCTTGGTCTGACCGCTTCAAAGGTGATAAAACAGGACAAATAGACATGCAATAAGGGGGGAAAAAAAAAAAAAGTTTTGAACTGTTTCCCCCTAAACATAATGGCTCTGGGGAGCCTTTCAGAAATCATTCTGTGAAGGTGCTAGCGAGCATGCTGCAAGTACTTGAAAGGCATGAGTTATCCAAAGTGAAATACCATCTGTCAGTCGTATGGCTGATCAGAGACAGCGATTCTTCCTGAGCTTTTTCCTCGGAAAGTCAGAAAAAAAAACCCCCAAATTTACTGTTTGAAGTTCTCTTAGCAAGTACCGTGTTTTACTTGCTGTGGAACATGAACTCTGAGAGTCTGGGTTTCATGCTGATATTTTACTACCAAAGAACGAAACATACAAAGCAGGAAATAAACCCCGTCTCAGGAAAAATGCCATGTGCACACCGTTTCCACACTTAAGATGTTTAGCTCCAGTTTGTTTTGGGCTGCACTCTTCTTTTTGTCTTCTTAATCTCCCTTGAGAATTAGTTTATTCCAAAAGGTTTTCTTTTATGTGCCAACCAATGTTTGAAAAGTGGGTCTCATTTTAAGCTATTTTTTATAGAATATACTATGAAACGTTTGAGAACTGTCCTTGTTAAAGGTACCGTGTTAAATCAGAATGTATTTTTTTTCTTTTACTGCTTCTCTGACATGAATATGCTTGAACTGCCCTTGGACTGGTTCTTATGAATAAAATAGCGTGGTGGTGTTTGGGTGGGGGTGGGTTTGTTTGTTTCTTTTTTACTAATGGGAAATTGCTTCTACACATCTGTATCATTTATGTCCACAGTACAGATAAATGTGGGAGGAAAGGGTCACACATCCCTGTAAACAAGTTCTAACACAAGCACACAATACTAAAAGATAATCAGACTTTGAGGAATATCGACATTTTTGCCTTTTTTTTTTTCTCCTAAAAATGTACAGAGATATTAAACTTATTAATCTTCATTCAAAAAACCAGTCTGTTTTCTAAATGGAAATTGGCCAAAGAGGTGTGAAAATGAACTGCATCTGGTAGTTGGAAGAATTTGACAAGTTCCTTTTTTGGTGGGTGTTCAGATGAATAACCTTAGTTGGAATCTGGAGGAAAAAAAAAAAAAAGAGAAATTTGAGAGGCCACTGACTCACTTTGAAAACTGCCTAAGAGCACAGTCGGATATTTGTTTGAAAAACAGTTGCAGTGATAATTAGAAGTTACTTCTCCTCAACTGTGGTACATAACTGACTTGCAAACTCTTCATTCCCTGCAGTACAAGATCAGACGGGTTCACGCAAACCACTGCCAGGATTTCTCTTATCCCTAGTGGCTGAATCACTAATGCAGTCAAACTAATTAAAGTCATATTTGTCAAGGACTTCTGCAAGAAGCAGAAGTCCAACAAACAAACATGATTTGGTGAAATTATTTAAACACAACTTGTATTTAAAGTATTAGGAAAGATTACAAACTGTGTTATTGATGCTTTGTATAAAGATTGAGATTGCTAGGCGTGCCACAGTTAAATTAATTTTACATGTATTTGCAATGAAAATCTGGTTTTGCATTTGCATTTCGCTCTGCCATTATTTGTTAAATACTGCTGTGAGAGGAACTCAATCTCTCTTTTTAAGGCATTTCTTCCAGTAAGAGCTATTACTTGTATTCAGATAGTTCAGAACTAGTTACATTTGTACTAGCGCAGGTCAGAAGAGAGGAAAAGGCAAACACATCTGACGGTTGAAACCTGCGTTAAATCCAGTATTGCTCGTTTGGTTTGGACCTGCAGTGGCACCGGACTCAAGGAGGGCTGTTGGTGTGCTGAAGTAGAGAGTCTTGCATTTAATCATTTTCTAAAATGTGTTGTTTCTAGGTCTACAGACAAGACTGTGAAACCTTTGGCATGGTAGTGAAGATGCTAATTGATAAAGACCCATCATTAGAGAAGTCCATTCAGTTTGCCCTGAGGCAGAATTTGCATGAAATAGGTGAGCGATGCATTGAAGAACTCAAACATTTCATTGCTCAGTACGATGCTGCCAATCAAGATCTATCAGAATCCTTCAAAGAGGGCTCATACTAAGGACAAAAATACGCTTTTAGAGCCTCTGCATTGTGTATGCCATAGTACATAAGTCTGCTTTTTGCGGGGAAAGAGGAGATCTTCTTGGAGATTCGAACCCAAGGTCTGCGCTCCTTCGTAGTAGCTCAGGTGGCTGTATCTTGTTCACTGTGGTCTCCACAATTGTATTCTTCCTACCTGTACTTGTTGAGATATATTCCTTTGAAAGGATGTTCTTTTCAAAAATGCTGTAAAGTTGACAAACTATTTTTGAAACCTTTAAACAGTTACCTAGGAAAAAAATGTTCAGTCCGATGTATGTACAATTACGTTTTGATGTTTATAAGTGTAACTTCAAACACTGTATTTTTTATTAAAATAACAAGAAGCAGCTCTTCATTCCTCAACTTATGCAGAAATACGTCTTGCTTTCCTATATACTATAGGAAGGGAAGACTTGCAAAATTTTTCACAACTATGATTTAAATTATTATAGTTTAATTTTAAACTTCAGATTCATTCTGTAAAATTACACTAGGGGTTGTCTCTAGTCTGCCAGAGCAACTCATAACTACTGGATATAAGAAGTGCTGTATTTTTGTCCTAATTGCAGGTTCTGCACATGGTTTTTACATTTTGGTGTTTTCCGTATCAAGAGTCATTACTAGAAAGCAGTATTACATAGGAGGAATTGCCTTTTTGTTACTGTTTGCTACTAAACATTTCCTTTGTTACGGTTTTGGCTACACCTTACAGAGTGTAACTGTAGGCAGACACTGAGCAGGGAATGGTCCTTTCTCCTACTCTCTTCCCCTCCTCCCTTATGCCTTCTCACCACGTTTCATCCATCAGTTTTAACAATTAGGAGGCTGTGTGTAACCTTAATTTCTGATATCAAGAAGAAGCAGGAATTTGGGGTGGCAAGGTGGGGCAAGGAAAGTGAGCAGGACCGTCTTTTTAGTACCTCCAAGTTGCTTTGGATTAGGTGTAACATGAAGTTGAACCCTAAGGCCCCAAATTCATTATCATTTCAAACCTAGGTGATTCTGAGTAATGTCTGGAGCCACTTTTGACCTAATAGAGTGACTTGTAGTGAGGGAACAGTGGTTGAGGAGAGTCAAGAGGCTACCAGTGCCTACATGATTACTTTTCAGAGGTGAGAGGTATTTAGGACTCATTGGCGGTATCCTGACTATTGGACTGTGTACAGTGTTACATTTAATAAGGTACTGGGTTTTACGGATGTTTTAGGAAACGGATAATTTGAGTCATAATCACAGAGAGGTAAGTATACGCACGATTGTTTTGTATACATTTGCATTTAGAAACGCATGACACTCTAAAAGGACTAATGACCAAAGCTCACCGTTTCCAAAGTGCACAATATTTTTAAATGAAAAAGTCATTGAATTCAGCCCCCTTGTCAACGTACCTTCTCAGAGCTCATCAGAATGAGGTGCAGAAAAGTAAATGAAATGGCAATAATTTTGCATGTACAAGGTACTGTATGTATCACAGCATCTTACACATGCAAATCTTGATACTGTGTATTAAATACGTATTACATCAGATTCCTGAGATGCGTGATTACTTCTTATGTCAGTAGGGCATGGCATTTGTTGGTTTCTAAGAGGTCATATTGCTCAAAGGAGATGACCTGCAACTTACCTTGTTGGCACCTGAGATTGTGGGGGCTGCTGTATTGGGTTTGTGTGGCCAGGTTTTGGTAGCGGGTGGGCTACAGGGGTGACTTCTTTGTGAAAGTGCTAGAAGCTGCCCCCATGTCTGATAGAGCCAATGCCAACCGGCTCCAAGACAGACCCGCCACTGGCCAAGGCCAAGCCCATCAGTGACGGTGGTTGCGCCTTTGTGATAAAGTGTTTAAGAAGGGGGAAAAGTTACTGTGCAAAAGCAATGGCAGCTGGAGAGAGGAGTGAGAATATGCGAGCGAAACAACTTTGCAGACACCAAGGTCAGTGAAGGAGGAGGTGCGGTCTGGAGCAGAGATTCCCCGGCAGCCTGTGGTGAAGACCACGGTGAGGCAGTCTGTCCCCCTGCAGCCCATGGAGGTCCACGGTTGAGCAGATATCCACCTGCAGCCCACGGAGCACCCCACGCTGGAGCAGGTGGATGCCCAAAGGGGACTGTGACCCCATGGGAGGCCCACGCTGGAGAAGGCTCCTGGCAGGACC